TCAAGCACGCGTTCTGCCCTCGAGAGGGCTGGGGCTGGATCCACTCGCGGTAGCCGATGTCCCTGTGGCTGCCGTCGTAGTCGTTCAGCACGTTGTTCTCGAAGCTCTGCCAGCCGTTGATAGCCCGCTCGGAGCCGTTCTCGTTCCTCGGAGGCGTCCTCCGGTCGCCATGCCGGTGGCGGCAGCAGCTCGCGCCCGAGTGGGCCTCGAGCGCTGTGGGCGGGTCGTGGCTGAGATGTCTTGAGCCAAGATCCTGACGGACATGGGGGGATGTGCGTGCGAATGTGTCTTCGCAGCTCCGGCTGGTCGCTGTATTCTCCCAATGGGCACTCGGTTACCTCGGAGGGGGTCCAGGCATGTGTGCGTCTCGTCAGCTCCGCGATGCATCTGCCCGACATCCATGCTCGAAACAAGCGCCGTCGTGTATGATCAATACTAGCAAAGACAGTGTCGCAAATGATGCACTTGTTGTCTATACATACCTGCGAGAGGACGGGAGGAGCGCCGTGGCCCTCGAGCGTTGTCGCGTTGATCTGGTGCTTGACCAGCTCGCGGTTCGTCGAAAATCTGGCACGGCATCCCTTGATCCCGCACGACAGGGGGGCGAGCTCCTCATCTTCACTATCGGTCTCCCCCAGCACCTCGTCAGCGGGGAGCTGGTTCTCGAAGTGCCCCGGGGGGGGCCCACTCGCGTCCCTTGAGCGTCGTGCGCAGGGCTCTGAAGTCGCACTTGCGGAAAACCTCGGAGGCCTCAGAATTGATGCTGAACAGGGTACCTAACGTACTGGGCCCCCAGACGTCCCTCAGCTCCCTGAAATGCGGATGCCCAAGAATCGTTTGGAAGTCCTCATGAAGCTGGCGGGCACAGAGGTGAAAGTGCGGGGCGGGGTTCAGCTCGCCGTTTCCAAGTATAGTTATATCGGCTACAGCTGCACCCACCAAGCGAGCTCTTGACTCGAACTTGCATTCCCCGAAGAAGGCTCTGAGGAAGTGGCGGTGATGTTCGGGGTTTGCCATGATAGACTGCCACCATCCCTACCTCCTTATCATAAAATCAACCCCTGTGGGTGGGATCTCCCGCCCCTCGAACACGGCCCTGGTGGTCAACGACGTGTGTCTGCCATCCTCGTGTTCCGTGTGTGCCGCGCCTGCCATCGTCGCTCTGAGCTTTTAGCGAGAGAGGTGCCGAGGGCCCGCACCTCCGGGGGGGTGAGCACATGCGCCTCCATACCTGACCAGACACGGCCTGCAACGCTAGCCAAGAACATGCTGCGCTTGCTCCTCCAAGGGCCAGGCGCAGCCCAGTAGTTCCGAAGGTTACTCCACCCTGCGGAACCAGCTCTTATCCGTGCCCGCTTATTTCCTTATCGTTTCCTCATCCGTATCATAACCATGTCTACTACTCTAAATAACTCGTGCCTTGACCTCGTGCTTGTTGCTACCGTTGATATCAATGTACCCGCCCAAGTGTATCATGTTCATCATCGTCCTCCCCGAAGCTCTCTCCTCCGCCTCCTTGGTGTCCCTGTTAGTGGCTAGGTGCACTAAGTGTATCTTGCTTGTCCACGTTCTGTGCGTACCCGCCCTCAGTCAAGTACTTGTCTAGTATCTTATTGTCCAGATAATCGAGGCTCAGGGCCTCGCGTGCAGCCCCACTCGGCACAATGGCAATTCTGATCAGGTCGTCTATGAAGCCTCCGAGCGCCAGGTCATCCCAGCGGTCGGACAGAGGGCTCTTGCATGCCAGGCTATCTCCCACAACCTGCCCGAGTTCACGCTGCCAGGCACTGACGATCGGGTAGAAAGATTCCATGAACAGCTCGGCTTCGTTCGAATCGCCCATCCCCCCTCCTTTCGTCGGTGTCATCGCCGCGTCGCCATCGCTAGCCTCGTAGTAGAATGCCCGTGCTCCTGTGGTGCGTGAGTAGCTCATCGTAGTGCTCATCCACTCCTCGAGACCTGTGGGCGTCGTGTAGGCGCGCGCGATGTCCTGTGCCGAACGCGTTTCTCATGTCATGCGATTTGACCAAATAATAGTGTTTGCAGCGGCGCAATTTCCACATGGCAAGTTTAATGATGATCATGAGCCCCCCCCTCCTCCGATGAATTATCCCGCCGTGCGCCCAGGGGGGGGAGGGGGCTCATATGGGCCACCGTAATCCACTAGGCCCACGCGCAACAATAGCCTCCACCAGTGACAGAAACAATGCAACAGTCTGAGACACCGTGTGATGTCCATGACCGTGTTGCCCGGGTCGGGCTGCCTGGGCCTCGAAGTCCAGGAGGTCGGGGTCGCGTGCTCGCCACGTGGAGCCTAAGCCCTCGCGAGGGAGGCCTGGGCGGAAGAGGTGGGTGGGGAAGAGGAGCAACTTCGCGACCTCCACGGGCCACGACCACGGCGGGGCATAACGACGGTGATGAGAATGTCGCAATCGTTTCTTCAACAATTCTAAACCCTCAGCCGCCATCTCGAAATCCTCGCTCGTGGGTAGAGGGAGGCCTCTGGGTCCGTAGGGTGGTATCTCATCCAAGGGAGTATTGATAAGATCTTGTATCTTATCTGGGTGCATGTACTTGCCTAGGATAGCGTTGACGGCCGTGAGCCCTCCTTCCACTCCTGGTTTCTGGAGGAGCTCTCGAATGTCAGCGGAGTTGGGGCGGCTCGTCGGGAGGGCGAGGTAGCGCCTTTTACGGGCCCCATCCTGGTACCAGCTCGAAGGCGTACAAGCTTACCTGCTCTAGCCTGGTCCCGCACCTCCCGCGCCTCCCTGATCTCCTGCTCCAGAGTCTCCCTCCTCCACCATTCCTGCCGTCGAGCGTGCGACTTGATCGCTCTGTCGAGTCGTCGAAGGGGCTCGCTCGTGATCGTGAACCCGAGGACCCTGAGGGTAGCACGCTCCGCTAACAGCCTACGTCGTTCCGCTTTCGCCTCCTGGAGCCAGTCTGGGGCCGAGTGCTCGGCCGAAAAGAACTCGCGAGCGACCTCTCTGATCGCGTGGGCCACCGCGCCAGCATGTCGGGTCGGCTCGCCGTCCGTCGTGAGGACACGGCACAAGATCCTCCTCTCCTCCCAGACCTGCCCCGTTCGTTGCATGAACTCCCCCCTCCGATGTCCCATCTGCAAGGCCGCCGCCAGAGCCCCCCCAGTCCCACTGGATGTTATGCTGCTGCTGCTGGGGGGTTGGGGCGGGCAAGGACATGCGCAGGGGCATGGGGACGTGGTCGATCATGCGTGGGAGGGCCTGGAGACGTCTCTGGGACCTCCAAAACGTATGCATTTGGATTCCCGTGTCCAATAGAGCTCGAGGTCCTAGAAAGTAATCGATCCGACTTCGTGCCCCCTTGAGGCCGTTGTACGTATGTCCCAGATCGAAGGAGGAGTTGAGGAAACTCATACGGCTGTCCGAATAGGCTTTCCGCACAACAGTGGCTACTGCATCCTCATGTTCAGCCTGGAAAGGGCCAAGGGTGCTGTCCACGATTATCTCTCGCCCTTCCTTCCCATCCGCATGTTCATATCGGCGAAGACGATGGGAGTGATCCACCCTGGGGCTGTGTCGATCTCCTCTTTGATCCAGGCCGCAAGTTGCCTACATGTGGTACGCCATAATCGGATATTCCGTGCTGAACTTGATCGCGGAGGGCAGAAGCCTACTATAAGCCGTTGTCGGAGCGGGCCGCGCTGGATGTCCAGACTGCCTGCTCTACCCTGTAGGTGCTGGGGTGGGTGGTCGGTGCGGGCGATGTGTTGCTCCTTGAACTGCCGGCTGGCAATAGCAACGGCCACCCCCGCGGACGAGTTCGCACTGCCACCTCTCCCCCAGCCCCAGTGGACCCAATGATGGTACGGGGTGCTCTCATAGAAGTGGGCGTGTCCCAGGCGGGTGCGCATCTTCGTGCCTGGCAGGAGGATAGCTGTGGTCTTGGCAAACTCCGTAGAAATAGTTTCCGCCCTGCCCGCACGCGTAAGGGCGAATGGGCTGTATCCAACAAATGTGGTCCTCACGCTCGGCGCAGATGGTGGTGATGACGGTGACGGCATGTCATGTATGATCCCCTCGGCCCGAGCCGTGCTCTCGTGTTCCTCCATAGTGCTCCTCGGGCCCCGACCAGTCATCACACCCTGGTAGTATGTGTCCCACCCGTCCCGATTCAGCTCCCCCATCTGAGACTGGGGACTGCCAAACCGCGTCTCGATAGGAACCGTTGTTCTTGACACCCAGTCCTCCATCTGGTCACCTACGTTGCTGTAGTCCGTCTCCTCCACCCGTCCTCTGTCTCCCAGTCTTCCCATCCTGCCCCCCTGCCGCGCGGGAGCACCGCGGCGGCGCGGCGAGAGCCGCACCGCTGACCAGGTGGGGGGGTGCGCGATCCTGGGCGGATCGCGGCAGTGAGGGGGGGGTGGGCAGAGGCCGCATGAATGCGTCGGCCTGAGCCGTCCGCGGCCTTGGAGGAGGAGGAGGAGGAGGAGGAGGAGGAGGAGGAAGAGGCGGAGGAGGAGGAAGAGGCGGAGGAGGAGGAGGAGGACATCCCTGGGCACTCTCAGGCGGCGCTGGCGCGAATCGTCAAGCTACCGGCCGCCTCCCCCTGCCCTCCCCCCTGCAACGCCCGCTTTGCCGCCGGAAGACTAGGAACTCTGGGCATTTTCTTGGGGTGGAGGGCTTCGGGTGAAATCCATGCATTTAAGACGCTGAAATAAAGAACTGTTTGGATTCGGAAAGGACTCGATGTTCCTCAGGTTCCTTCAGTGCTGTTCCTCTTGCCCTCCTGGGGCACGGAGGCGCTTACAGGGCCAAGAAGGGGCTTCGTTCCTTATTTACCGTTCCTTCTGTCAGCGGCCCGACTGGATGGGCTTTTGCACCTCGAAAATCAATCCGTCTTGAGATTCACCTTGTGCAAATCCAGGCCTCGAGAATCCATCGAAACGGCACTTCCGATTTCACCGCCCTCCACCTGAAGAACATGCTCGGAAATTGTCTCCTGCCCCCCGCTCGTCCAGCCTTGAGCTGGAGCACGTGGACGACCCGCATGAGGAGTGGCACACCTGCCCCATCTCGCCCGCCCGGCTCCAGACGGGCAAGGCCTTTCCACACAGGAAGGCTCCGCAGACGCCTCTTCGGGCTGGACGGAAAGGGCAGCTAGCGGCTAGCACTGTGTTGTTCCCACAACGTACTTCAGGACCACATCCCAGAAGCACTGTCGAGGACCCAGAAGAGTATCGAAACAGTGTCGAACGAGTACCGCCTCCCAGGACCCGATGCGTGAAAACCCTCCAGCGTCGGTGCTCTCTTGGTGCTCGAGATTCGCTTGAGTGATCAAGGCCAAGATGGGTTTGAACATCCTCTTGCCATCGCTCGGACGCCCATTCCGCGTGCATGTTTCGGTTTCGTGCGTGTTTTTTTTCGGCGCGATGATCAAAGATGCTCCTCGATGGTCCTCGCCGGGAGCAACATGCATACGCCCGAGCGATGCCAAGTCCTGAGGCTAGCAGTGCAGAGGAGGCCCGGCGCCTCCCGGCGCTGGTCTTCCCGGCGCCTCCCGGCGCCACGGTGTCTAGGCGAGGCGCCCCCAGGCGGGGCCGAGGCCGATTGCATGCAGTCGATTACGAACCCCCCTCAATCAGGCGCCAGACTGGATGAGCCTGGAGAGCTTTCGGCCTTCAAAGGGTTTAAAAGGCATCGTTCCCCCCCCCTTGCCCAATCCCCCCCCTTTTCTTAGAAGCCTCCTGGATGGGGCGGGCCGGAATAAATGGGGTCGGGAGATCGCGCAGCATCGACGATACGTCGGCGATGCGTCGGCGATGCGTCGGCGATGCACCGGCGATGCATCAGCGACGTCGGCGATGCATCGGCGACGTCTGCGTGAAGAATGTCGGGCTCCGCATCGAGCCGCATCGCCGATGCATCGGCGGTGCGGCGCGAACCTCCGACTCCATCCACTCGGACCCCACCTGGGAGGCCTAGAACATCCCCCACTCTCCCCCGCGCCCCTTGTGTCCGACTCGAATCTTCGGCATGCCTGCCATTGGTCGGCCTCCCGGGGGACCTGCCAAGTGTGGGCCTGAAGCATGCAGAGGTGGGTCCCGAGGGAAACGGGTCCTGGGCTCGGGGGCCCTCCCCTGGGACCCGTACCCATTGGTCGGAAGAAGGAACTGGGCAGAAACATGAAGCAGGAAGGCGTTGAAAGCAGACTGGGCTCCGTCCGCCCCCCGAGGACGGGAAAGGAGAAGCCACTCGATGCTCGATGCTTGAAGTAGGAAGGCGCTTCACGCAGATTGGAACCTGGGAATCCAGAAAGACCTGCTTTCAGCGACCGATGGGTGCTGCCTCCCGAATCGATGTGGACGGTCGTGGAGCCCGGGGAGGGCCCCTGGAGGCCGAAAAAAGCGCAGGACCCGCTCGCCACCCGGCCCGCGTGCTTCCAGGCGAAGGCTTGGGGCCCCACAGATCCAGTGTCGACTGTGGCGGCCGGACTTCTCAGCGATGTGGGCCCCTGGGGGCTGGCTTCGGGCACCGAGACATTGACAGAAGTCCGCGCGGACCCCCAAAGACCGATGATGAATTCGACGACGGGAACCTCAGTCGTTGCGGCCCGATTCTTCTACGATGTGGGCCTCTGGGGGCTCACTTCGGGCACCGAGACAGTGAACCTAGACATCCGCGCGGACCTCCAAAAACCATGCCTGATTACTCAATCCTGTATTCTTCGACAAGAGCGCGAGCCCAAACATGTTGACGTCTCGCGTTGGCTTACGCTTGAGCTCACTACATGAGCTCAAAATGTTGACGTCTCTCGTTGGCTTCCTTTTGAGCTCAGTACGCCCTCTTGTCGCAGGAAGCTACGTGGAAGGCGCGGTCTCGGCGCTTTCGCATTCGCCGCTTCCCGCTGAGGGCGAGGACGCGCCGACGGCGATGCTGTCCGAGGATCCTCGGAACGAGTGCCGGCACCAGCGTGTGCTTGTCCACCGAGGCCGTCCGAGACGACGCAGACGGCGCAACGGGGGCCGAGCTCGCGCAGAGCCCAGCGAGGCAGACACAAGACACCCTGATGGGCCTGCTTTCCACCAGCACCACCACCAGAAGTTGGACGGGGAGGGGGTCCTCCTCCTCCTCCTCCTCCTCCTCCTCTTCGCCCTCCTCCTCCTTCTCCTCCTCCTTCTCCTCCTCCTCCTGTCCGCCTCCTCCTCCCCCTCCTGCTCCTCCTCCTCCTGCTCCTCCTCCTATCCTCCTCCTCCTCCTCCTCCTCCTCCTCCTCCTCCTCCTCCTCCTTGCCCCCTCCAACTTCTAGTGGCGGGGGAGGAAAGCAGGCCGATCCTGTTCTAGAAGCCCCACGTGGCTCTGGTGCGGCCGCCCAGACAGCCCCGGCGGGCCTCAACAGGCCCCCCCCCTGGAGTAGTCCCAGCTGGCCTCAACAGGCCCCCCCGCGCAGCTTCAGGTCGGGCCTATCCCCCTACAGGCGGATGTTGGGCGAAAAATTCAAAACATTCCGAACAAACATTCAAACCTAGCCCCCAACAAAAATCAAACACTCGTTCCCAAATGATACGATCTTTGAATATTCCCCCTGTAGGGGGACACGCCCGACTTAAGCGGAGCTCGGGGCAGACTCAACACCCCAATCGGGGAGACGCAAGACTCTGGTCGGGGGGACTCGGGTTGGCCCGACGGGGCCATCATGAACATGACGCGACCCAATCTGAAACTTGATGCGGGCTCCCGCTGCAGACATCCAGCGGAAACTGGACCGCCCAAACCCAAGACGGGCTCGTCAGAAAGCGCGGGCAAACCCGAGTCCCGGCGTACTCGACTCTTGCGTTTTCCTGGCCCAGCCCAGGCCGGTTGACGCCAGCCGGGACTGCCTGGGGGGGAGTGGCTGCCTGTGCGCAAACCGAAGCCTTACCAACCCCACGTGGCTCACCAACGTGGGCCAACACTCCAACCCAGGCCAGTTGAGGCCAACCGGGAGGGACTACCGGAGGGGGGGGGCTGCCTGTGCGTAAGCCGAAAGCTTACCAACCCCGCGTGGCGCCCAAACCCAGGTCAGCTAGAGGGGACTGGCTGACACCACGCCCAGCTCCGACATCCCGCCGCGTGCGCGCGTCGGCGCCCTGCCACTTGCCCTGCCAATTACGGAGGGTCCCCGCGAGGCCTCGGGACATCTCCTAGCGGCCCGTCTTCAGAGATGGAGCACATCCCACGGGGGGCCTTACCGAAAGGCGAGGAGACGCTACATCCTCCTCCTCGTATTCCTCCTTTCGACGTTGGCCGTACGTGAAGCGCGAGCTTGTTGCATCGCTCCTCTCCATCCTCCTCCTCCTCCTCCTCCTCCTCCTCCTCGTCCTCCTCCTCCTCAATCCTCCCTCCTCCTCCTCGATCTTCCTTCTCCTCCTCCGGACGCTCCCCTCGAAGGAGTATGGCCGAGGAGGAGGAGGAGGAGAAGGAGGAGGAGGAGGAGGACAGAGAAGGAGGATCGAGGAGGAGGACGAGGATCGAGGAGGCGGATCGAGGAGGAGCAGCAGCAGAACCGAGGAGGGCCGAGGGGGATCGATGATCGAGGAGGATCGAGGAGGATCGAAGATCGAGGAGGATCGAGGATCGAGGAGGGCCGAGGCTCCCAGCCTGCGCCCCAATGTGGCGCCCGTTTCCCGCCGTCTGTACGGGCCCAGTGCTCCAGCTCGGTCTCCTCGCTCTCCACCTCGCCGACGTGGCCAGCGCGCCGCCGACGTGGCCAGCGCCGCCGCCGAGGCCGCCGTCGAGGTCGCCGCCGAGGCCGCCGCCGAGGTCGTTACCGTTGCTCTCGACGTCGCCGTCGTGGCCGGCGCCGTCGGTGGCGGCGCCGCCGACGGCGTCCCCGTCGACGTGGCCGCGGTCGCCGTCTTCGTAGTCGTCGGCCCAGGAGGTGGGGGACCCGAGGAGGAGGTTGGGGAGAGGAGTGGAAGGGGAGGGGGGCGAGGGAGAGGGGGAGGAGGCGGATGAAGAAGAGGAGGGGGGGCGAGGAGGAGAAAGAAAGACGAGTTTTTGTTCTGAGGCTTCCAGGCGGCTTCGACGTCACAGGAGGTTTTCGGCAGCGCGTAAGGGGGGCGTTCCACGTCCCCAGCCAACATCGCAGACCATGCAGCCCAGGAGGGGGTGGTGGTGGCTACGACAGACCCGCCGATGTCGCCAGCGGCCCTCGGATATGTCGAGCAGGCGCAACCATGCTCCTCCCTATGCTTCTTCCCATCCTCCTCATCCTCCTCATCCTCATCCCCCTCATCCTCCCCATCCTCTTCATCCTCCTCATCCTCCCCACCCTCCCCATCCTCCCCATCCTCTCCATCCTCCTCATCCCCATCCTCCCCATCCTCCCCATCCTCCTCATGTAGAGCTCGCTCCTCCCAATCATCCTCATCCTCCTCTCTCGCCCTTCCTCCCACCTTCCCCTTCGGATCCCAGCTCCTGGCATCTCTCGTCCCTCTCCTCCGCTCTCAGGTAGGGTAACGTCGTCTGGGGTGATCCTACGAGCCCTCTGGGGCGTAAGCGGTCTAACAAGCTCGCTCTAATCCCATCTTCCCCTTCCAACATACGCTCCCTCTCCCACCCCCTCCCTCCCCCTGGGTCTGGATCCACCCCCGCGAGGTGCCAGAGGGTTTTTTGGGGCCCCAAGTGGCTCCAAGAGGGCCCTAGAGAGAGCCCAAGATGGCCTCCAAAATCATCTACAATGATACCCGAGAAACATCCCTATCATAATATGTTTATGGCTTTAGGGCTATGGGGCTATAAGGCTATAGATCTAGAAGGCTATGGGGCTATAGGGCTACAGGGCTACAGGGCCATAGGGCTATAGGGCTATAGGGCTATAGGGCTATAGGACTATAGGGCTATAGGGCTATAGGGCTATAAGGATATAAGGCTATAGGGCTATTAGGGCTATAGGGCTACAGGGCTATAGGGCTATATAGGGCTACCGGGCACCTGGGCACCCGGGCACCTGGGCACCCAGGCACCCGGGCACACGGGCACCCGGGCACGCGGGCACCCGGGCACCCCCGGGCACCCCCGGGCACTCGGGCACCCCGGGACACATGGACACCCCCAGGCCCCCAGGCATGCGGCGAAAATCGGCGGCAAACAACCTAACCATATGAACCCGCTAGGACCCCTACAGAGGCAAACTCTGATTTGGGAATATCCCAAGATGTTCCAAGATAGCCTCCAACATACCTCCAGGAGCAGTCAAGATCGCCCCAGGACGGCTCCGAGTGCCCTCCGGGCCTCCCAAGGAGGCTGCCAGGATGCCAGCATTCTTCAAAACCGAATTGTTTTGCGTCTTTTCGCCTTTTTCTCTTTCAGCGGGCACTGAAAGCCTCAATGTGGTTCCAAGATGGCCCATGATGGCTCCAAGAACGGTCCAGCAGGGCCCCCAAGACGACCTCAAGAGCGCCCAAGACAGCGGCCCAAGACCGCCCCAAGAGGCAATGTTTCGGGCACTTTACTTGGGTACCCCTTCTTTGGTCAATGGCTTCCAAGATGGCCCCAACAAGGCCCCCAGGGCCCCAAAGAGGGCTCCAAGAGCGCCCCAAGAGAGCCCCAGTATAGCTCCAAAGCTTCCAAAACGACTCCAAGAGGGCTCCAAGATGGCTCCAAGAAACAACCACGACCGACCCAGAACATCAGACCCGCAACACACCGACAACAAAATACCGACCGATGACAACCACGAGGAGCCGCGAAGCGTACGCAACTACGCGGGCGCCACCCAATGAACGAACGGGGAGCCTGTGGCTGCAGTGGTTGAGGGGTTGCTTGTCGTCGCTCCCTGATCAAGGCAACTTGCCTGGCGTCTGTTGTTGGATTGGCCGGTGGGGGTACGCGACGCGGCACTGATCTTGCAGGTATGGTAGGCGCGCCCTCGGGGAGCTGAAGGTGCATTGTATGCATGTGAACAGATGTAGGTATTAATTCATATAGGTGTTATAGCTCTATCGCTCCCTCCCCCTACGTTTACTTCACACAGGAAGGTATGGCACTGCGGATGTGTAAGCTCTGTCACATCAGCCAGGTTGTGCCAGCGGTGCAGTGTGAGCAGTGCTGTGCAGCATACCTGGCGCGCGTTAGCTGGTGCAGGCTGTGCGGCGACAGCTATGTGGTGCATACCATGTGTTGCCAGCTACGGGCTGAGGCAAGAGCGAGGCGGCAACGGTCGGCAACGTGGCGAAACCTCGGCTCATCCCCCCGCCGCCACGGGCGGCAACGAGACGGCAGCGGGCGGCAACGGGGGGGGCACCTCGGCGGCCCCCCCGAGCGCAACGGGCGGCCACGAGGCGGCAACGTGGCGAAGCCTGGGCGGAGCCCCCGAGCGCAACGGGCAGCCTCGAGGCAGCAACGGGCGACAAACGTTTGAGCAGGGACCGACCGTCCCGGCATTCCTATAGTCCTGCCACGAAATGTTCTTAGGACACAGAACTGTTCTAAGAACAAAACAATCTTCTTAGAACATAAACCCGATGTGATATAACAAGACAGACTCTGCCAGAAATGCATGTTCTAAAAACATGTCGTGGAAACCACAAAAGGTTCTTAGAACATTGTTCGGTAGGGCTATAGGCGAGCCAGGACGCTTCGCCACTGCTTGAAAGTGACGGAACCTCGGCGCCCCCCCTCGAGCGCAACGGGCGGCAACGAGGCGGCAACGTGGCAAGACCTCGGCGGGCCCATCCAATTCCTCAGAAGCACGAGTGAGAACCCTGAGCGCAGGCACTGCTCGGGGAATGCTGTGGAGACCAGCTCCAGCGTGGACCCCAGACAACAAGTGATGACACTGTGGATGTGTAAGCTTTGGCGGCGCGCGCAAGGGGGTGGAGGGAAGAGGGGGGAGGGCTTCCTAGAGGGAGGCAGGTTCTCAGAAGGCGCCATCCCTTGCATCTGCAGATAAGGCCCGTGCCTTTTGAGAAGCAGGGGTGCCTCCAAGAAGCCCTGCCCCCTCCCCCCCACCTCCCTCTGCGCGTGGCCGATATGTGGTGCACAGGCGATGCTGCGGTCGTTTCGGCTAGGCGTACGAGTGACCCTGGGTAAGAATGGCCTTTGGTGCGCAGCTTTCGGGGGCGCCAGAGAGCCAAACCCAAGGGCGCGGGCCGCTTATATCGCATCGCGCTCGGCGATCGAGGGGAGCCCGATGAGCCCGCACAAAAGGTCACTCCTGCGAAAGGTCACTCTTACGTGTAGTCGATCGATTTTTTCGAAGAACAACTACACGTCGTTCATTTCTAACCGTGCTCATGTGAAATTGACAGATAAACACAGGGGCGCAACCCGATGATTGTACGGGCGCCAGGGGGGAGAGAACTCTGGAAATCTGCGGCAATCTCCTTCCCGTCAGCGCATGTTCCAGACCGTCCCCTGGCTCCACACTTCCTCACCTCTGCGATAGCAAGAGGGCCTCTCTATAGAGGTCGACGGCCGTCTTGAAGCCGTCCTGTCGCGTCTCTTCCTACTCCTGCACCTTCTGCTGGTAATGTTCCTCATCTTCCTCCTGTCCCCTCGCTCCCTCATTCGCTGTCCCTTTTACCTCGTCCTGGTCCTCCTCGTCTGGCAGCGGACGCAGCAAGAGTCAGGCGCGCAAGATCATATGCACCAGAGCGGGAGAGAGAGAGATGGATAGCGAGGGATAGCGAGTGAGAGAGAGAGAGAAGGAGATCAGGCTTGGCGCTCTTCGCAACCTCCTTTGTTTTCAGGCCGTCTCTGATCACGCCGACTACCCTCCTCTCCTCCCTCCTCCTCTTCATCTCCCTCCCCCTTGTCCCTCATGCTACTCCTCCTGCTCCTATATTATCCTCCCTCCGCCTCCTCTGCTTCGTCTCAAGCCGTCCTTGGCCGCGCCGGCCCCAGCGCGACAGGGCGGGGGATGCTTTGGACGGGTCAACCGATGGCTCTGGGCGGGGCGGCGCGTCGGCTGTGCACAATGTTGTAGGAAATTGCCGGCGTCCGTCACAAAGAACCTTTAACTTATACAATGTTGCAGGATGGCCGAAAAGTTTTGAATCGAGAGCTCGGACATTGTACTGTGGAAAACAAACATTAATAGTCGAACTATAAATTGATTATTTCAGCTCGTGATTCAATTTTTGTTGCCTGGTGGGGGGGGGGGCGTGGGGCTGCAATCAGGTCGGGCATGGCCTCCTACAGGCGCATTTTGGGCGACAAGAAGACCCAGCCCCCAAAAAAACATGCTCAGAAATAGTTGGGACACACATGCTGGAACCATCGTCACCACATGACTTGTGTTTGCCTATGTCTGAGTCTTCCTCCCGTGGAGGGACGTGCCCGACTTGACGCTGCAAATTTGGACGCCCGAAATGGGTACGGAAAGGATGGGTACAATGCCCAACAACAAATGTTGTCCCAAACCAACAGCGGCCGCTGTTGGGCAGGCGGCCTCCTGTCTCAAATGGACACAGGCCGCGGCGGCGTGGACAGCGAGTCCTGTTCAAATAGAACAAGATCCGCTGTTGGGCATTGTACCCATTCTGTCCGTGCCCCGGCCAGAGGGGGCCGCCGGCGACCGCCCCAGAAGGGGCCGCCGGCCAGAGGGGGCCGCCGGCGACCGCCCCAGAGGACTCCCGGGGGCCCAAACGGAGGCCCGGAACCTGGAGAGCCTCGGGCGTCGATCCTCGGACGACGCCAGCGCGGGGCGCGCCACGCCAATGCTCTACAAAGAGGGGGCCCGTGGGCACACAGACAAGGGAGCACAGCTCCCGAGAGGCCCTGCATGCTCCCGTGCGCTCTGGGTGTTCGCCCTCCCGTCCACTTCTCCCATCGTTTCTTCTCCTGGGAGTCGACGATGATAAGGGAACGGAGAATGACGTAACCATAAAAACCTCGGAGGTCCGCGCGGATATCTCCGTTCGGCGCTGGACCCCCCTGGCAGCGCCTCCGGCGCCGCCCCTGGCGCGCTCCGCGCGCCAGGGAGGGGGGTCCAGAACCGATCCGAGAAATCCGCGCGGACCTCCGAGTTTTATGTTTATGTCATTGTTCGTTCCCCTCTCCAGGCTCCAAGCAGCTTCTGACACTGGATCTTGCCGGGCGTTGAGGCACTGTCCACCATTAGGTCAGACCCGTAACCCCAGGAAGCATTTAAGAACCCCCCCCCCCTTCCGGCAAATCGATAACCCTTCCGCACCCTGGAAGCGTTACCTGGCACCAGGAGCCCTCCTCCTCCTCCTCCTCATCCTCCTCCTCCTCTCCTCCGCGAATTTGTTGTGTGTCCGGGTGCTAAACCTATCGTGCGGTTATTTCGGCCCCTCGGAATATCGAATAAAAATGCGGTGCTAAGATATCGCCGGGGGGTTTCTTAAATGCTTCCTGGGGTTACTCCTACGTGCGGATTTCGGGAGGAAAGCAACAAATAGTCGACACACAATCAGCAACAGTCAGGAATGCTCGGAAAATTATCCCCACCCGTGCCGACGAGCTGGCTCAGGCTCCGCGACAGCCCCTGCGGTTAGAATGATGTCATGACAGGATTTCGGGATCATCCTCCTCCCCCTCCTCCTCCTCCTCCTCCTCCTCCTCCCTCCTCCTCCTCCTCCTCCTCCTCCCCCTCCCCCTCCCCCTCCTCCCCCCTCCTCCCCCTCCTCCCCCCCTCCACCTCCTCCTCCTCCTCCTCCTCCTCCTCCCTCCTCCTCCTCCTCCTCCTGCTCATCAGTCCTCCTCTCCTCCTCCTCCTCCTCCTCCTCCTCCTCCTCCTCACTCCTCCTCCTCCTCCTCCTCCTCCTCCTCCTCCTCCTCCTCCTCCTCCTCCCCTCCTCCTCCTCCTCCTCCTCCTCCTCCTCCTCCTCCTCCTCCTCCTCCTCCTCCTCCTCCTCATCCTCTTCCTCGGCTCAAAAAAAGGAGGGGGTCGCAAATCATGGCCCGGGGCACGTGCGCGGCCCAGGGGGGCCGAAGGACGTGTTGAGGCAAGACAGAGGGGGGCGGCCATGACATCTCGGCGGTGGACAAACCTCTCTTCAGTAAACCTCCCCTGAGTGACAACGGCCTGGGACCGGAACCGACGGACCTGGACCCGCAAAAATGACGGCCGCGACGCCCTCTCGCGAACCGAAAACGGCCAAGTCCTCAATCGACGTGTCAGGGTAGGAGGTCTGTCAACCTCCGAAAGAGGGGGGCGGCCATGACATCTGGGGAGATATCAGATGGCTCCGGCCATGATGCCCCCCCCTACAGTGGAGGCCAAGTCCACAAGAAGTCTTCCACAATGACCCCCAACCCTAAGACCCGAGGACGTCCATGGAATATGCCCCCCCCCCCCCGCTACAGTGGAGGGCAAGTCCACAAGAAATCTTCCACAAGGACCCCCAACCCTGAGACCCCAGGACGTCCATGGAATTGTTTGGCGTGGGAATGTCGCGCTGTCCACAGCAAAACTATCGAAACCCAGGAAACCCAGGGCACCCTGGAGGCAAGCAGGGTGTTTCTTGGCATGGGCCTCCACGGTATCATGGCCCTGGCAATGATACTTTCCCCCCTCCCCCTGGTCATCATCCACCCTTGTGGCCGCCCATGCAGATTGGCTCAGGGTGCGTGCCAGGAGTCCCAGAGCATCGAGAGGCCCCCTCGTGTCTGCAGCCAGTGTGGAGCGTCGGGACTTCTGGGGAGCCTGCGGAGTCTTGAAAAGCTTCTCTCTGGCTCTCGAGGAGCGCATGGTGCGGCATGGCTCTGGATGGAGGTGTGGGCCGCCTTGCTGAGGCGCTTCGCGCGCGCTGGTGCTCGGAACGTCGTTCGTGGGCGCTGTGATCCATACGTATCCACCCTTCTCCTCAGAAACCCCCGCCCCACTCCCCGGGAGAGCACCCCTCTCCCCTCTCAACTCCGCCTCACCCGCCCTCCAGATAAGTGCCCTCGCCCGCACCCCTTGGGCGCGCGCGAAATCAAATCGGGCGGGTTTGTCGGATGGGACATTGGGTTAGGTCGGGCATGTCCCTCTACAGGCGGATTTTGGACGACAAATGAAAAAATCTACACCAAAATGGTCAACAAACACTACAAACAAATCGTGCGCAAAATATTGTTGGACTATTTTTGAATGTTTCTCCTGTAGAAGGACAGGCCCGACTTAAACGTAGGCGGGCGGTTGGTCCGGCGAAACTCAGGCTGCACATTGGATGTACGCTTCGCTCGTTGGCGGGGCGATGCTGCTCGAGAAGGCTCCCAACCCCCCAAAAACAACTTGTGAGGGCGACGACAGAGACGCAGACGAAGACTGGCGGGACATGAAGGCGGGCGGGCGGGACACTCAACTCAACAGGAGCTCGCGCGCCGACGCGACATGGCGCATGGGAAATCCGCCGATCCGGCGTGTGACTTTCTGAGAGCGTAGGCTTGAGCTCGCTCAAGCTTCGCTCTGCGGGGGGGGGGGGGGACCTCATTCCGACCTAATTCAGTGCTTCGCAGGGGGGGGGCCTCATTTCCGACCTAATTCAGTGCTTCGCACCCCCCCCCCCTCCAGAGCGGACCCCCCCCCCCCCTGCAGAGCGCCCCCCCTTCCCCCTCCTGCAGCCCAGCCCCCCCCCCCTGCAGTCCCCCCCCCCCTGCAGAGCGACCCTCCCCCCCTCCCTGCACCCCCCCTCCCCTGCAGAGCCCCCCCTGCAGACCTCCCCCCTGCAGCCCCCCCCCTGCAGAACGAACCCCCCCCCTCCTCTGCAGCAGACCTCCCCTCCTGCACCCCTCCCCCGCAGAGCGGACCTCCCCCCCTGCAGCCCAGCCCCCCCCCCCCCCCCCCCCTGCAGAGCGGACCCCCCCCCGTGCAGCCCCGCCCCCCTGCAGAGCGGACCCCCCCCCCTCCCCTGCACCCCCCCCTTGCAGAGCAGACCCCCCCTCCTGCAGCCCCCCCCTGCAGAGCGGACCCCCTCTCCCCTCCCTCTGCCGAGCGGACCCCCCCTGCAGAGCAGACCCCCCCCCTGCAACCCAGCTCCCCCCCCGTCGTCGTCGTCTTCGTTGTCGTCGCGTCGTCGTCGTCGTCGTCGTCGTCGTCGTCGTCGTCGTCGTCGTCGTCGCTCGCGTCATCGTCGTCGTCGTCGTCGTCGCTCGCGTCGCCGTCGTCGTCATCGCCGTCGTCGTCGTCGTCGTCGTTGCGTCGTCGTCGTCGTCGTCGTCGTCGTCGTCGTCGTCGTGGTCGTTGTCGTCGTCGCTCTCGTCGTCGTCGTCGTCGTCGGGGTCGTCGACGTATTCGTTGTCGTCGTCGTTTTCGTCTTCCTCGTCGTCGTTCATTTCCACAGGCACCCGGAGCGCCCCGGATCGGCGGCACTGGCCGGAGGCCACTACAATACAACAAGATGTCCACGGGTGTGACGTCAACGCGGGCGGGCGGGGCATTCAATGCAACCCTCGCACGGGGCAAGTTTTGTCGACGACGTCAGCAGTCAAAGCGTCGTCGTCGTCGTCTTCAGCGTCGTCGTCGTCGTGGCTCGCGTCAGCGACGTTGTCGTCAACGGCGACGTCGTATTCGTCGTCGTTTTCGCCGTCGTCGTCGTACTCGTGGTTTGATGGTGCCCCTCCTCCCCATCAACCGGCCCACATTCTGCGTGGGGGGCGCAGGGGCTTGTTGGACTTCGGGTGTGAGGGGACACTCACAAGTAACCCCCCCTCTGCCCCCCTCCCCATCCGACCCCTTCACGTCCTCGTTCTCGCCCTCCTCTTCCTCCTTCTCCCCTCTTGCCCCGCCTCCTATTTCTCCTCCTGCCCCTCGTCGTGGTCCTCCTCCTCCTCCTCCTCCTTCTCCCTGTCTCTGTCTCCCCGTCTCTCTGTCTTTCTTGGAAAAGGAAAGGCGCATAAACACAAACATTTGGCGCTCCGCGCGAATTTCTTGGGTCCGAGCTAGACCCCCCCTCCCTGGCGCGCGCAGTGTGCCAGGGGCGGCGCCCAAGGCGCCACCTGGGGGCCCCAGCGCGGATCCAAGAAATCCGCGCGGAGCGCCAAAAGTTTTCGTTTATGTGTGTTTGTTTCTTCTTCGACTCCTGGCATGGCCCCCGGGAGCCCGAGAGCAGCGAGGCCCTCCCGGACCACCGTGGCCAGAGGATCCCGAGGTCCGCGCAAAGACTTCTCGGATCGGCGCCCGGGCCTCCTCCCACAGGCGCCACGGGGCGCGCCAGGAGCGGCGCGTGAGGCGCCGTCAGTGATGAGCAGATGTTCCGAGGACCTCCCCATCCCCCCTTCTCCCCCGCCGTCCTACCTGTGGTGGTGGTGGAAAACTGACCCATCAATCAGGAGTTCCGACACCGATTCAAGACACCTGCGTGAGCCTCCGAAAATGTGTGCTTCTCCATCTGTTCTTTTCGGCGGTGGACGAACCTCCCTTTAGTAAACCACCCTGTAGTGAAGACGGCCTGGGACCGGAACCGACGGACCTGGACCCGCAAAAAATGACGGCCGCGCCGACCTCTCGCGAACCGAAAACGGCCAATTCGCCAATCGACGTGTCAGGGTAGGAGGTCTAGCAACTTCTGATCTCTCTCTCTCTCTCTCTCTCTCTCCTTCGGCTGGACACAGCGAGGAGAGGAAGGCATGCCTGCGGCAGGCACCGCCTCTCGTTCCGCGCCCACCCCTCCCTCCCCCTCTCTCGCCCCCTCTTTTTCCCTCCCTCCTCCCTCCTCGTGCCTGCTGTTCGCTGCTGTTTGCGTTCTCTCTCTCCCTCTGCTCTTCTCTCCTGTCGTTCCTCTCGTCTTTCTCGCTTCCTTCGTCCCCCTCCTTCCCCCTCCTCTCGTGCTCCTCTCGTCTTCTCCCACCCCTACCCCAGCCCCACCCCACCCCTGCCCCACGAACAATCCCTACCCCACGAACAACCCCTACCCCACCCGTGCTCCACGACCAACCCCTGACCCCTCTCTTCTCTTGCTCCCACCCCCCCCGTCCCCGCCCCGCGAACAACAGGGGCGGAGCGCGCCGGCTCCTGGCCCCAGGCGCCCAGGTCGATGTCGAACTGAGACAGCCACACCTTTGGCGCGACCCAGGGGGAGAGGGGCGTGGGGGGGGGAAGGGAGGCGCGACGAGGGAGGACAGGCCTTTTCCTCCTCCTCCTCCTCGTCCTCCTCCTCCTCCTCCTCCTCCTCCTCCTCGCGCGTTCCTCCTCCTCCTCCTCCTCCTCCTCCTCCTCCTCCTCCTCCTCTCCTCCTCCCTCCTCCTCCTCTTCGTCCTCGTCCTCGTCCTCGTCCTCGTCCTCGTCCTCGTCCTCCCTCCTCCTCCTCCTCCTCCTCCTCCTCCTCCTCCTCCTCCTCCTCCTCCTCCTCCTCCTCCTCCTCCTCCCCCCCTCCCCTCCCCCCCCCCCTCCCCCTCCTCCACCTCCCCCTCCTCTTCCAGCTCCTCCTCCTCCAGCTCCTCCTCCTCCTCCTCCTCCTCCTCCTCCTCCTCCTTCACCTCCTCCTCCTCCTCCCCTCCTCCTCCCCTCCTCCTCCTCCTCCCCCCCCCCCTCTGCGCGCCCTCCCTCCGGCAGCTCGAGGGAGGAGGAGGGGAGGAGGAACGCGCGAGGAGGAGGAGGAGGAAGAGGAGGAGGAAGAGGAGGAGGAGGAGGAGGAGGAGGAGAGAGGAAGGAGGAAGAGGTGGAGGTGGAGGAGAAGGAGGAGGAGGAGGATACGGCACTGCCGAGAGAAGCGTCGCGCTGTGCACGAGCGCCCACCAAGGGCGCCAAGCTGCTGGCAGCCTGGCTGGCCTGTGAGGAGGCTGGGACCCCACCAAGAGGATCTCGGGTACCAGCCACCCAGACAAAGATACGGGGGTTAAGCCCCGCAGCCTGGGTGAGAAGGTGGGCCCCCGTGGAGCCTGACCCAGTGGGTCTCAGGGTCTGAGACAAGAAGCGGACGAGGTGCGGGAACTCGACGTGAGCCCTCCATTCCTTCATCCGCAGGATGAAAACCTTGCATGAAAAGGCGTCAGTTGCGCACCGCCCGTTCTGACAGGCGGTGCCTGCTTCCCGATGGGCAATCAATTAGGAGGTGACCAGCCGCGCCCGTCGTAAAAGCCCCACAGGAAACGCACAGGCAAACATGGCCCGAGGAAACCCAGAGCCGGTGGCCGCGAGCGGCCGTGGAAGGAACGGGGCCCGCTCCTGGCATAGGCTCGGCTGGTATTGTCGCGTCGGCCAGCGAGGGCCGACTTGGGCGCTCGGAGCCGATCCGCCTTCGCTTGTCGGGGAGGAAGGTGGGCCCCGAGCGCTCTGGAAAAGACAGAACCCTGGCAGTGGCTTCGGCCTGGACACTCGCAGCTCCGCCCCAGGCAGCAGCGACGGGCTCGAAGCCCACACGTGGCCCGACGCGCCTCTCAAAGCCAGGGGAGGGGCTACGAGGGCGAGACAAGGAAGGGCTACCCAGGCCCGAGGACGGAGGGGGGGGATCCGCCTCCCCTCGGTCACACACATGGCCACGCGTGGGGGGCTCCGTCCGAGGGCGCACCGACCGAAACGGGTCCGAGGGGGAGCGAGGTCGCACAGCAGCGCCGAAGCTGCTGCCCTCATTCGTCGGCATCTGCCCTTCATTGTCAGCCTGGGCGCGCGCAGCGTGTCCAGGAGGGGTGACAGTGGAAGGGGCGCCGATGGATGGCGGCGGCAGCACGCAAACGAGCAGGGCAGGCGAGCTCAGAGAGACGACGACGGGCCCTTTCCAGCTTCGAGCCCTGTCTACAGAACAATTGCATCTCCGAATGCTGCGATGGGGGGCCCGGGTAAAAACATGGCGCAGGTGAACCGATTCCTCCCTGGGCTCCAGAGGGGCCGAGGGACACCGAGGGCGTCGACATTTGATGCGGGGCCGAGTGTCGACCCGCTCTTCGCTAGAGAAAAGTCCCAGGGCAGTAGTACTCCATCGCAGGATGCGAGTGTAGTGTTGGTGGCCAAGCTTCATAGCTTTGACCTGTATTCTGGGGATGGAATGGAAGTCTCTGCCATTGCGCGCAGCAGGGTGTGCCCACCGGTTGCCTCGGGCGTCGGTGCTCTGTCCCTGCTGGCGCCCTCTGACTAGGGTAACTCTCACATCAGACCCCGCCTCGCCCAGATCAGAAATCTTGGCCCAAATGCGTTCCCAGAGATCAGCATTTAAACGCCGAGGCGAGCAGCGCCATCGGGCTCCAAGGGCAAGGCCGTCAACCAGGCCTTTGAAGTCGGCGTGCGCACAAACGGGGGGGAGGCAGACCTGGAGGACCTGAAGAAAAGCATAAAGCTCGGCCCTGGGCGAGGTCTGTATGGGGCCTGGGGGGGGCCCAAAAACAATGATATCTACCCCTGGGGGCGGCTCACTCAACTGACAGAAACCCCGACCTGCACGTGTGGCCTCAGGCCAGTACCACATACGCTGACACGCACCATCCGTGTATACGTTACCTGTGATACCTTGCGGGTCGCCGTATTGTATGTGCCAGTGCCCAGTGCTGTCCCGTGGTGGTAATGGTGGGAAGCATGAGCGAGAGACGAGTCCTGTCGACCATAACATAGAGTCACGCATTTGCCTAGGGAATCTCTCCGTGCGAATGTGAGACAGGTGTAGTTGACGTTGTGTGTGCAGTGCAGGACACTCGTACACAATGTGATACAAATCACATGATGCCGCCATACACCGAGGGCATGTGTCTGTGCCCCTGTAACCACACTTCGCAAGCCTTGATGGGCTCCAAAGTCCACCTCCCAAGCAAGCACGTTCAAGGCCAGCTTCTTTGAGGGAGGGTTTCCGCTTGTCAGCAAAAGGGTTGGGTCCAACAAGGGGGCGGGGTCGCGCCTGCATCATCCTCGCGGTCGGGATCGCCGGGCCCGTCGTCAGTCACTCCCTGAGTCGTCACCATCGTGTAGTTCAACCTTGGATAGGATCTGCAGTGTTGGCTCTATCCAATATCCAATGGGCTCCCGAGGACTGGCGTCGTGACCTGGGAGAGGTGGCCGTCGGGCCCATTTTCCCCAAAGTCGTCGCACTCCAGCATCTCCATCAAGCTGTCGGATGCTGGACGGCGCCTCATCGCGAACATTGATACGAACCCCTAGGTCCGTCTTCCAAATAGTGCTGCTGATGGTGGCCCACCTGGGCTCTCGTAGTGCAAGCACTGTGGCACCAGCGGGACCCGACGCGTGACGCCACGGGTGGGGAGAATGATAGATCTTCTGGATCTGGCGAAGCCATGCTGACTGCGAGACACAGTGGGGCACCTGCGGATCGGGAAACAACAGGGACCACTGGTACAGAGGCGCGGCCCAGGCCTCCACCTGGGGGTCGGCGAGAGTAGACCCCTGGAGGCACGATGTGATCCAGCACGATGTGCTGGAGCCTGGGGCGTGCCACACGCCTCGCTGCGCCTGCCGCGTTTGTTCGACGAGTCGCGGGGGGGCCCCATGCACGCCTAACCCGTAGGTCAAGGCTGGTGGGAGAGCCTGCTTGTGGAAACGACTGAGGAGAGGACCAGCCCCGTGTAGTGAGCTGAAGCGCGGCCGACGACTAGCCACACCCCTCACACGTTGTCGAAGCCTACTGTAGCGTACAGGGCCTCCAAAGCCTCCACGTAGACGTACCCAAGATCCCGTAGTTGATAGACCACATGTTTTCCCAACGCAGGAATGGAACTAGTGAGCCTCATCTTGTGGGCAGCTGGAGGGGGCCCCAGGGCCTTGAGTGCATGCGCCAAGAGCCGAAGAACCCTCTGGGACTATGAACCGATGCGCCGTAGTACGCCATATGTGCACAATAATATCGTCCGCGTACATGTCGATGATACGTGGTATGTCCATGGTGGTGCGTGTGGGATGATCGAAGGGGGCGATCATTATGCACTGCAGCGCGGACATGGCCATCGAGCATCCTGGTAGCACCCCACACTGCGCATACACAACGTCAGAGTAGCAATTGTCCCATACCAAACGTCTGCTGGACATGTATAGCCTAAATGCGAGGAGGAGGAGTGGTCCAGGAAAACCTTGCTGGATCCCTGCGCGCAGTAACCATAGCCACGGCACTTTGTCGAAACACTTTGCTACATCAACAATCGCATGCACTGATGCCTGCGGTTCTGGCCGCAGATGTCCGCCTGCCTCTGCTGTTGCCATCAGACGAGCTGCAACGTCCGTCGTTGATCGCTGCGAACCAAGTGCAAGATATTGGCGATCTAAACGGGATGCCCATGCCTTGACCCAAGCCAGTCGGGCGTGGGCCCATACTCGGTAAATTGATGGGAGCAACGCAATAGGTCGGCAACCATCCGTCGGTTTGCCCAGTAGAATGATGTGTACACGCCTGGTGCACGTGGGCCATGTTCCAAAGGCCTCACATAGATGTAGTAGGTATCCGAAGACAGCCAGGGCCCCGTTGGAGGCCAACGCCCAATGTCGAGGTCTGAACTGATCTGGCCCAAGGGCCGTGCGTCCCGAGAAGCTCCGCGCGGCTTGCCGAAGGGCCCCGATGCTCAAGGGAGGCATGCGTGGGCCAGCCTGACATAGGCCTCGCATTTCGACGATGAAGTCCCCGTTGCCATCGTCATGAACGCTCTGGGTGAGGAGGGAGGGTTCGTCGTCACATCCTACCCAGACGTCCTTCCAAGGCTGTCGCTGGACCCGACATATGTCCTCAGAGGTGCTAGAAGGTCCCAAAGCGGTATCAACCTGCGATATCGTCCAACCACGAGGTTTTGACCAACGGTGTATGGGTCCTGATCGCTGCCGCAAGTGCTGTCGGATCCATTTTGTGAAAGAGCGGGCCCGAGCCGTAGCCATCCTTCTGTCGATGGCTGCAGCATTCCGTCCGAGGTAGGCCGACGCTAGCCCGTGCAAATGATGCTGCAGGGTAGGCTGTTGGGCGGCTGCGTGCAGTAGATCTGTGAGTACAGCTGTGACGGGAGGAGAGATGTGCTTCCTCATCCTGCCTTCTTTACCTTCTTGAGCGAGGAAGGAATAGAGGTGTGCCCATACCTGCGCGGCCTGGTGAGGTCGTCTCACCTGGGCCAGCTGGACATCGCTGACGCGCAACTGTAGTA